GGCCTACTTCGGAGTTCTCGACGCCACGGCTGGATTCGCCTCGAAATCATGGTCGGAACGCGCTCAGGAAGGGTCGTGAGGATTGTTTTGAGTGCCGACTGTGTGGAGGAGGAGGAGGAGGAGAAGCAGGAGCAGGAGAAGGAGGAGAATAATGAGAAAGAGGAGAAGCAACAGGATGGATAGTTGGAGGGTGAGGAGTAGGAGTAGAGACAGGATAATCATTATATTCCGCGAGGAGGAGGAGGAGCAGGAGGAGGAGGAGGTCTCTCCTTCTCCTTTACCTGCGAACCCCAACCCCTGCTGTTGTGAGTTCTGACTTGGATTTTGTGGGAACCCAGCTGTGGTGCCGAAGGCACCCCAGGCGGCCACCCACCATGAAGATGTGTCAGAGACCACCTCTTCTCCTGCGCCCTCCCTCCCTTGGCGCGTTGTTTTCGCCCAGGCGTTTTCGTGTCCCTTCTCCTCTCAGCTTCACTACCTGACAGTTGCTCAATCCATCTTCCAACTCGACGGACAAACCGCTGCGTAGACACACGGTGGGGGCGTTGGGTTACGGAACGTGCCCGAGAGGCTTCGGATCCCGGGGGCTTGTCCCTGTCTGACGAGGGCGGCGGTGACACCCACGGCCAAGCCACGACTGGGGCTCCGCCGGCTTGCCGACCCTGGGCTCCTTAGGCATCCATCGAGTCGGGGATCGACTGCAAAATGGATGTACCTCAAACGCTGTTGTTTCGCGAATCTCGACGGCGCACTCTGCGTATTTTCCGTGGGCTCGACGAGAAAAAACACTTCTGACATCAAGTCTGTAGCCCATCCCACACTCGAGGCCAATGGCTCTGTATCCAATGCCCTCACCGTAGACCTTCGGAGGTCTGCTGGATCTCTTGGATCGCCGCTGGACCCCACAAGTCGGGACTCCGTAGCCATTTTGGCTCAAGGTTTTGGTTTCCCAGCGGAAACAAGTGGATACCGCTAGTCCGCGGCCAGTGTTCGATTCTTCATCGCTCCGCTGCGCGAGCCGCCAGGCCACGCAGCATCGCCCAGTCCTGGGCCTCTGGCCACCAGGCCAGCTTTCACCACGACATCGGACACGACATCCTACACCAAGGCGCCATAACTCCTTCTGCTGCTCTTGCTTCCGCAGATTGGAGTTGGACCTACAGCCCTTGGGTTCGCACAGGCGCCAAGGGCAAACGCTACCCGCATCGCTCAGGAGGCCCCATGTGGAAGTGTCTTTCGTGCGGATGCGCAAAGGATCCAGGATCTTTTTCAGTGGTGCAAGCACTGTGGAGTGTGGAAGCCAAAGGACATCACCCACACCTTGGACAACGGGAGAGCGGTCGACCCGAGCTCCAAGTGGGCCAACGGCCCCCCCGCTGGCACCCCTCAGGTGGACGTCTCCAAGCTCGAGCGCTCGGAGTTGGTGGCGATGTTGGCTTCATCTACCAAGTGTGGCCAGACCTCTCTTGCCCAAGCGTGCCAGAAGAGGCTGGGCGAGCTCGACAAGGGCCCCCCTCCTCAGCCGCCGCTCGAGACCCGTCTCTCAAAGGCACGCTGGGCCTTCAACAACCAAGACGCCAAACTTACGAGGGCCATGGATAAATACCACAAGTGGCAACAGGACCTGGACCAGCACTGGGAGCACGTCGTCTCTCTCAAGACCCACTTGGACGTGCTTCAGGTCGAATATGACAAGCTGGCAGTCCCGGTTCGCTCAGCCACTCCTGCACCTGAACCCTAGCCCGCACTCCCTCTCGGCGCTCTTGGAAGGTAAGCTCGACGGTTTCGTTATCGAGTTCGGCGACGTCTTCTCCATGGGCGGCGAGGGAGGTCTGGGCAATGATGAACTACGGCAAGCTGAACAACGACGGGAGGCCCTCGTCAAGGGCCCCCAGGAGGGCGCCAAGAAGCTCTTCGCAGATGCGGCCACCAAGGCCAAAGAGGCGCGGGCGGCTCACCAGCAGCAGATGGATCGACTTGCCTCCAAGCGTCGCCGAGCCGAGGGCAGCAACGGCGAGGCCCAGGCCACTCCAGGGGGTGCTGCAGCCTCTGGGCCACTGCGGCCCCAGCGGCCGAGGGGGCGCCGCCAGCGCCCTCGGCGCCCCAGGAGCCCTCGGCCCCGGCCGCTTTCGAGAAGGAGCTCGCCCGCAGGCAGCAGCAGATGGGATCCAGCTCCTGACCATGCCGTTGCTGAAAGCGGGGTCGGTCGATCTCCAACTGGCGCTGGTGGTTCCGCTACTGTCACTGACAAAGGTAAGCAGCATCCAGAAGATTTCCAGGAGGTATTCAACGCCTCCTCCAATGTTTCGCCCCCAGTGGTGGGCGCGATCTACCCTGAGACGGAGAAGACATGACATCTCTACTTTCGCAATCTCTCGACCTGGGGCCCTGCGGCCCAAGGTCTTATTGATGAGCGACACTACGACGGCATCCTCTTAGTGGAAACTCATGCTGGCCATGAGCAGTCTGATGGCCCTCTTCGGCACTGGAGCAAGAATGGCTATAAGGCTATCTGCGCACCTGCCAGGCCGACTGACCGCGCCAAACTTCTGGAGGCGCGGTTGCGGGTATGAAGAACACCTTCACCACTCCTCTTTTAGGCACCTTGCCATGAACAAGGCGCAGCAGATCGGCATGAGGGACCTCGCCTCCGCCAAGGGCAACCTCGACTTCTACGACTTTGTTCCCATTGTATGGCATATCAACGGCACCTCGATCTGCATCGTGGCGACTAATCTTACTTGCTCCATTGGCATTCGAGGTTTCAACCTTCAGGAGCTCGCGATCCGTGGCAGTTTCAAGAGCCTGGACATCCCATGTGCCATCTGTGCCGACTGGAACGTTCCACTTTCTACCCTGGTGCAGTCAGGGTGGCCCACCGTGATTGGGGGGCCCCAGTTGTCCCGACGGACGTGGAGCACACTTGCACCATCGGTTCAGGATCCAGGTTGGACTACGGCATTGTCTCACTGCATGCGCGGCTTCTGATTTCCAGCCGCGCAGCAGACGCATCAGTAGTTGTGGCCCGCAATGCAGTAGCTGGCAAAGCTCATTGCGGACTCAAGATTGACTTTCGAGCTCGAACTGCGCTGGCCCTAGCTCGTCTTTATTCGTTGCCGCGTTCGTTCACACATCAGCCTCTTCCCGGGAGAAAGGCAGACCCAACTTGTAACAGATCTCGCAAGGCAGCTACTGCAGCAGAAACGGCGCAGATGAAGCTGGTCAAGTCGGAGACGGCCCTGACCACCAAACCCCGACTATCCCAGGGCTGCCGCCGCCCAAGCTCACCTTTGCTGATTTGGATGAGAACCTGAGCAGGATCTACCCCCCCCCCCCCCCCCCCCCCCCGACCTCATGATGGAAGACCCTGGGGACCTGGTGATGGGGGCCCTCTCTGAGGCTGGTCGAGAACCCCCAGCGTGGACTATTGGGGAAAGCCCCCACCCCTGGCCCCCTCAAGACAGCAACAACTTGCCCGAGATGAAGTCTGGCGCAGTATTGGCCCCTCTGGCTCAGATTTCCTCAACCAGCCGACGGATTTCATCCAGCAGCCTCTTGCATTTCATGTCTCGCAGTTATCAGCCCTGCATCTTGGAATCTTGTTTTGCAATTGGGCACCTGTGCTTGAGATACTCTACATACATATGCTAGACCTCTTACCTAATGCAGCCAAATCGTATACTGGGCGAGCGGCTGCAAGGCAGTTCATAGTGGCACCTATCAAGGCGCCCCAGCAGCGCACGGTTCAGGCTGATCCGGGCACGAAGTGGCGGGCTATTCTTCTGGCGCGTTTCGAGGAGCTGATCAGGAAGTTTGAGGATCCACTCAAGAGCGTGGTCATCCGTGCGCGCATGGAGCTGATTTGCACCTTGTCCACCTCAGCTCCCCCCCCCCCCCCCCCCCCCCCCTCTTTCACCGACGGCCGGGAGAAAATGGGCAGCCACCCTACGCAGAGTGAATCATCTTACTCTTGCTCAGCTAAAGCGGCTCAAGATAACACTCGAGAATAATGCAGTTCGTGCGCGGCGTTTCTCAGCCACAGCATCACGGCGGGGTTTCGATTCCTGGATCCTCACCGCGGCGTCCACCACCTCAGGCAAGCTCTATGACTTCACCAGGCACCCGCCAGTCACGCTGAATGAGATTCGAGTGGCTCAAGGGACCATGGCGACCCCCATTGGGATCTTGACCGCCAAGCGGGACAGGTGGGAGAAGGCCTGGAGCAGTAAACGGTTTGACAAGCAGAAAGTGATGGACGTTTTCGCTAAGGCCCGTCAGACAGCCTTGGGCACAGATTTGGAACCCATCTCAATTGATCAGATCAGACATATACTACAGCGCATCTCCCCCAAGAAAGCCAAAGACCGCGAGGCTCTCAGCATCAACGATCCCCGACGTCTACCTGACCAAGCGATCCAGACGTTAGCCGACATATACCATGAAGTTGAGAGATGCGTCTCGTGGCCGTGGCAGCTCATGGTGGTTTTCATCAGTTTATTGCCGAAGTCGACCGACGATGATCGGGCGAAAGGAGTGGCATCACTATTGGTTCGGCTTTGGGGGGGGATCGGGAGCCCGCTGGACCGTGAGTGGTGCGCCCAGGCAGCAGGTCATTGGGATGGGGTCATTGCTGGATCCCCCTCCCTGCGAGTGGTCTTGATCCGCAAGTTTGGAGATAGAGCAGTCAGCATGTCTCCCCTCGACTTTTTGTTTCACCTGGAAGTTCTTTGGGATCTCAAGGCATTCTATGGTTCCCTGGACTGGGTCACGCTCATCACCACCGCAGAAGATCGCAATTTTCCTCCGCACACGCTGGCGCTGACAATGCAGCAGTGTTTCGCTCCCAGAATCCTGGAGGAGTCGGGCCATCTCTCTCTCTCTCTCTCTCTCTCTCTCTCTCTCTTCCGATTCAGCCCCAAAAGGCAATGTTTGCAGGGCAGGGGTCAGCCGTCGACCTCTCGCGCTGCATTCCCTATCGAACACTCGAGAGGATGTGCGAGGCTCACACCCCTGTCACTATCAAGTCATGGGTCGACGACCTCAACACTCGCATCGCTGCCCCACCGAAGTTTGCAGTCGACCAGATCACCAAGGTTGCCACCATCCTGCGCGACGACTGCAAAGAGTTGGACCTCATCTCGCCGAAGTCAAACATCCTCAGCTCATCTGTCTTGGCTGGGGTTGCCCTGGAGGCCAACTTGAAGCAGTTGGGGCTTGCAGTTCCGTACAAAGATCGAGTTGTGGACTTGGGCTTCGACCGTGGCAACGTTCGACGTGGTCAAGCTAAGGCACAAGAAGCGAGTCGAGAAAGCTCGTTTCAGATTTCACAAGATAGGTAACGTGGCCACGGGTACTCTGGCGCATCGAAGGGTAGGATTACGTCTCGCAGTCACTGCCACCATGCCGTGTGTCTCCTACGCGGGGAGGATGCACGGCACCCCCCCCTCGGTTCTTCTTCAATGGCGTCGAGCTCTGGGCCGCATCCTGCGCAAGGGCTCCAGTCAACGCTCTCTGACCACCCAGCTCCAGTTGGACATGGGCCACTCTGACCCCGCGATCGCTACTGCCATGGGCGTGATCAAGTCGCGGGCGCTCTTCCTAGCCACCTCCGACATCGACTGGCAGCTGATCGAGGCGACCTGGGCCAGGGTTGTAGCGGACCTTTTGGCCCGACCGCAGAGCACCTGGTCTCGCCGCATCTGGGGAATTTGCCCGGCCAGGGTCTGCTTGCTTCTGAGGTGCTCTTGGGGGCCCCATAGGCCCTTGGAGGTGGGTGAGCCCCGATGGTATCGAGTTTCACGCCCCGTCTGAAAAGCACAAGGTTGGGGCGCTTGACTTTTCTGATTTGAAGCAGGTGCTTTCTCTTTCTATGCAGCGGTCCTCGTGGGCCGCTGCTTCCGAGGAATATCTGGGGCTTGGTCTCGAGCGAGGAATCCTTTACATTGGGCCCCATCCGTGGTTTTCTGAGGGGCCTCATGCGAAAGGGAGAGTATGCACTGTTTGGAGTCCACCAAGCCATCGCGACTGGCAATTTGTGGCCAGCTCAGCGGGTGCACGATTGCTTCCCCGAGGTGGATCCCTTGTGCACCCGATGCAAAGAGGCCCCAGAGACCCAGAGACATGCCCATTGGGAACGCCCTTGCAACAATGTTTTGGAGGGCATAGCTCCAGCTGCTGTCGTGGAGCGAGCGCGGTTTGATTGTGAAGAGCTGCCCTGCTTCTGGCACCGAGGCCTGGTGCCAGGCCCTCGGGTTGAAGTGGCCCCCCCCAGCGATTTGCCCCCGCTTCTCGAACTCGACCTCCCGCCCTCGGAGTTGGTGTTTCCCTGCGGCGTGGTGTTTGGGGCTGGCGACGCCAGCGGGGGGCCCACTCAGCCGACCCTAGACTTAGACGCGTTGGTTGGTCCACCATTATTTTCCAGGATGGAAGCCACCTCCAGGAGAGCAGATTGTGTGATATTAAATCCTGGGGTGGGCCAGTGGGATAAAACACAATCCGCGAACAGAGGCGAGCTCCGAGCTTCCGGAACTTTTTTGAGGGCCACGAGGCCCGTCCCGATTGAAGTCGGACGTCAGTTTATCACCGATAGCGCTTATGTCCCCCGCGGCTCCGCAGCTATAGTGCGCGGAGAGTTCCCCACTAGCAAGATTACCGACTGGTTAGAGCTCCACGCGGTGATCAGAGACACTCCTGGGTTAGTTGTGCGGCTCTTCAAGGTTGAGTCCCACCTCTCGGCTGCTGAAGCCCAGGAGCGCTCGATCCCGCTCTCACATCCCTTTGCGAATCACAGAGCGGACGAGTTGGCCGAGTCTTGTGCTGTGGCAGCCCAGCTCCCATACTCGCAGCGTGCGCAGATTGAATTGGTTGATGAAGTCGCGGCGGTGGTCATGAAACACTTAGCGGTGGTCCTCCTTGACTGCGCCTCCCACCGTGTCCCTCCTCCGCCGCGGCCTAAGGTTGAACGTCCGAAACTTTCTAGGCATGCTCGTGAGACTTTAAAGCTCAGCCATGCCCTGAGTCAGTCGCAGCACAAGATCCCGAATCCTCACCGCCCATTTTGGCAGTGCTCCTTGTGACGGACGCACGGCTAGGAAATTCTCCTTCGATTTTCTGAATACGCCGTGCCGTGCCGTTGCTCGCATTGTGGAGCCGACGGTTTTTTCGGCCGAGTCATTCATCAGACTCGCCGGCTTCAGACTGGGGTCCAGGGCACGGTGTTTTGCTCTGCGCGTGGACTGCATGGCGGATTTCGGGTCCGTTCCGATGGCTGAGGCAAGCCTTGTAGACCGATCACGCGCCGTGGGCGCAAGAATCTGGCGGCCCTCCTCCTGGGCCAACTTCCACAGCAGATGGCAAAGCAGTGCAGAACGGTTGTTTCTACTCGACGATCTCTTTACGCTTGGCCAGCTCCTGGCCAGGCTTGGCCAGCTCAGGCTTCGCAGCTGCCCGCTGCGACTGACCTCAGGGCAGGCATCCGTGTGCATACCCCACATCTGGGGCGAGGCCTGCCGTCGTCCTGGCGCTCGCTGCACCTGGTGCGGCAGGTCTCGTCGTCCTTGTGTGGGTGGTCGATTTGGGCATTTCCTTTTTGGTGGCAAATCATGCCACTTTGCGTTTTCTCCTTCCGACTGGCGGTGCAGGTTGCGCAGCCTGTCCTAGTACCCGAGCCTTGGGGCACCGCCAGCCTGTCGAGTAGTGTGCGGTGTGCGTGCGCGTGCGTGCGCGCCTTGCACGCGTGTCAGGCACCCCGCCGCAGGGGGAAGGAACGCCGCGCACTTCTTTCTCTCTCTTCTACCAGCGCGCTGGTTACGCAGCCAGCCTTGTACCCGAGCCTTGGGGCACCGTCGAGCTGGAGGGATCTCAGGGAACCCCGAGCACGGGGGTGGACTCAGGTCCGCCCCGACCGTGGCTCAACCTTCTCGGTGCTGCTGCGGCCCAGGATGCAATGCCACACCTGGCCCCAGCACCGTCTTCAGGGTCGGCAGCGCACTGGCTGCCCCGTCGCCGCTCGCTCGATTGCACAGTGTCGAGCTGGTGGCGCCTGCTCCTCTCTCTGCGCTTTCGCGCTCCTCCAGTAAAAAACAAAACCCACAAGCCGGGACTGCTCCGAGCGTCTGTGGCTGCATGTGCCAGTCGTGCCAGTGTGCTGCGCCTCTGTTCCCTCGGTCTCCTCTTCTGCGGCCGATACTGATGATGATGACGACGATTCTAACGATGATGAGGATTATGATGCTGATGGTGGTGGTGGTGGTGATGGTGATGCTGATGATGATGCTGCCGCTGTTGATGATGATGATGCTGAGTATGATGATGATGATGATGGTGATGATGATGATGCTGATGCTGATGCTGATGCTGATGCTGATGCTGATGATAATGCTGCTGATGATGATGATTCGGATACTGATGATGCTGCTGCTGATGACGATGATGCTGATGCTGGTGCTGATGCTGATGCTGGTGCTGATGAGGGGGAGGAAGAAGAGGATCATGATCAGCATCATGATCAGGATCCGGTCAGGATCAGGACCTGGATGATGATGTTGCTGCTGATGATGATGACGATTGTGATGATAATGGTGATGACGATCATGATGAGGATGAAGATGAAGATGAAGATGGATATGATGATGATGATGACGATGATGTTTATGATGATTATGATGATTATGATGTTGCTACTGATGCTTGCTGCTGCTACTGCTGCTGCTGATGATGATGATGATGATGATGATGATGATGATGATGATGATGATGATGATGATGTTGATGATGATGACGATGAAGATGCACGCGGCACGGTGGAACCCGGCGGGCCGCAAAACGAACCGCGCTGGGCGCGACGTAAGGTGGGGGGCGATAAAATACGGGGGGGGGAGAAGGGGGGGTGCGATAAAATAGGGGGAAGCGATCAAATAGGGGGGGAACGATAAAACAGGGGGTGTGCGCGAAGTAAGGGGGGAGCGATAAAATTGAGGGGGGGGAGAAGGGTGCCCTTCCTTGGCCCTAGAGGCCCCCTCTGTGGCCCCAGAGGGCTCCTCCAGGGGCCCTGCAGGGCCCCTTTTCTGCAGCCCCTTCGCTGTCTCCCGAGCTCATCGCCCCCCTTTTGTCGTCGCCCCGCGCGCTGGTCCTGGTGCGAGCGGCTCGCGCGCGAGATCACACCAGGCTGCTGGAGTTGTTCTCCGTGGAGAAAAACAAACTTCAGGAGGGGAAAAAACACGCAGACACAATGAATCGTCGACTCCCAGGAAAATATGGGCAAATGTGGGAAGTGGGGGGAAGACGAAAACCCAGAAGATATGGGAGAACATGGGGAATCTGGTTATCTGTGTGTATTTATTTGTGTGTCCCACGGCCCCTTCAAAATTTGTGTCGCCGAGGGCAGGCCTCCCTCGGCGCGCTCCGGCGGCGCCTGCCGAGGCCCGGGCGCGGCATAAAAACGAGAGAGCACCGCCCTTGGCGCGAGAGGCGGGGGCGTGGCGAGGCACGCAGCGAGGCCGCCGCCCCCCTCTCTCGCGCGGACCGGCCTGGCGAGGGGGAACGATGGGGAGCCGTCCCCCTAACGTTCGGGGGCGGCAAAGAGGGGGGTGATGACTAGGGGGGGTGGATATCATGGCGTGGGCCATGATATTTCCCCAGATCTCATGGCGCCTCTTCTCATTTCATTACGTCCCTGGCCCCCCCGCTGGGCCGCGCACATGCCGCCGGTCATGATTTGCACCCCCCCTCTTGGACACCCCCCTCTTGGCCGCTCCCGAAACGTTTGTGGACGACGACCACGGGAGAGGAAGCATGTTGCCAAATATGTTTCTAGGCCTCCTAGATGGGGTCGGAGCAGATGGTGTCGGAGGATCGCGCCGCATCGTCGATGCGTCGCCGATGCGGCTCGATGTGCAGCCCGATTTGCTCCACGTCGACGTCGCCGATGCCTCGCCCACGTCGACGATGCATCGCCAGTGCATCGCCGATGCATCGGCGATGCATCGGCGATGCGGGGCGATCCTCCGACCCCATCTACTCCGACCCCATCTAGGAGGCCTCTAATGTTCCAGATGTCTCAAGCATGTTGTTCGTTTAGTGTCTTAAACATGTAGAAAAACAGGTTTCAACGATATCTAGAGCATGTTTCCGACATGTTCAACATATTTTGAGTTCACGGATAGGAGTGTTGCGGTGTCCCCTGTCATGGCACCCATAACCCTAAGTGACGCTGCTGTGTGATTTGGCCTCCCCCGGCGGCCACGCCGGGCGCTCGACGAAACCCCGCGGGGGGGTCTATCGAGCAGTGGCGGCGGGCTCGAGGACGGAGGCCTGTGCGCCGAGAGCGGCCGCTGACGCCTGTCCGCCGAGAGCGGCCTGTCGCCCCCCCCTTTGGCGTGGAGGAGGTGCCCTGCCCCCTCCCTGCGGGAGGAGGAGGAGGAGGAGGAGGAGGACGAGGACGAGGACGAGGACGAGGACGAGGACGAGGCGGAGGAGGAGGAGGAGGAAGAGGAGGAGAAGGAGGAGGAGGAGGAGGATCAAGGAGGAGGGGTGAGGAGGACGAGATCTCTCGGTGTGGCCACTCCCAGGTGGGGCCGACGGGCCGCGACACCACACCATAATTAGCACGGGGGAGCCCTCCACAGTGGTGCTGGTGCTGGGCTTCCGCC